AAAAAAAAAAAAAAAACAAAAACAAAAACAAAAACAACAAACAAAATAAAATGCAATATTCCCTACCTCATCCAAGGTTAATCCATCAATGCTCGACACACTCCCACAAAAAGCAATGTCAACTATGTCTTTTCCGAGTCCATAAATTTCAAATATTTGTGCCCCACAATAACTGAAAGCAGAGTATCTTGCATTAAGACTTGCTAGGCATAAGCAATACATTAAACAGTTAATGAAACAAAACATATGCAGAAGGCCAATATTAAACATACCTGGAGAGCAATGAGATGCCCATTTTCGAGAGAATTTTCATTAAGCCAGACCTAACTGCCTGTAACACAAAAAATAAACTTCATGAAACAATTTCGAACAATAAGCACGATCTTCAGAAGAAAAATTGAGAAGGAAGTACTCAGAAAAGACATTACAATTGGTACAGAAACTTTGATATTACAGGACATATAATGCACCTCAGAGGGTTNCTTTTTTCGTTTTTATGGTATGATCGCCAAAGTCATAGTGTACTCTAGAGAAAATCTGCAGTGCTTCCTCTCATAGTTTCATCTCTTCAATATTGAAAATTCACATTTATTCAACAAATTTTACTGAGCATGATGCATTATGCTCTCCAATATATTTTTGTTCAAAGTGACTTGTAAACAAGCATGCTCAAATTGATTAAATCAAGTAAATGTACAGATTAACAGCATACAAACCTTGCAAAAATTCTTTTGAGCCTGTTCAATAGTAACAGTGGGCATTTTTCCATTCCGCATAAGGTTTACAGTTTTATTGCTTAACCGCCACTGACGACATGTCTCTAATGCCAAGTATGGGCATATAGCACTGGAGAGAAACATCTCAATAGTTATATGTGATATGAGGGAAAAACTGAAAAAAGAATCATACTTTTTGACATAAAAGTCTTAATAACTGACATCTTAGTGAAAAATGCTTATTATGATGAGAATGAAAACTAGCCAATCTCCACAAAACTAAAGGCTTAAAACTCTTCATAAAATTGGAGATCCACTAAAGTTAACTCACATGAGCATATATCAATTGACTTTGACAAAGTGGTAGGAAATCTTGCAGTTTTGTTGCTGAATTGTCAAAAACACATTTCCAACAAAATAGAAACAGTAAAAACTAAAAAAAAAAAAAGAAAAACAAAAATCCCAATAGATATATGAGCATATCACTGTACCATCTGCCTATAACACGGGGTTATGAATTGTGGGAATATTCCAGATACATATTTAATGAGGCAAATAAACAGACGCAAAAAGGAAATTAGACAGACCTTGCCCCGTATCCAATCAAGCAAGCAAAGTGGTGTGTACTAAAGCACTGAGCTGTATCAGCAACAATGGAAGCTTGCATACGCAGGCCATTCTGAATTAGGTGCTGATGAACAGCACCCACAGCTAGAAGTATTGGAATGGCTGGCCGTGTTGCCTCCTAATGAAAGCAAACGGTTATCAATCAAGATGCATTTTCAACCATAAAGATGTTTATAAAGTTTTACTTCTCTTATCTTCTTATATTGTTTTATCCTATTTATGTTCAATTTGCAGCAATAAGCTTGCGTAACTGTTCTCTCTCTTTTTTTTTTTCAATTTTTTCTTTTTTTTTTGGTGCAAATAAATATCTTACCAGCTCATCAGACCTGTCCGAGAGAACAAGAAGCTGGGAACCATTTCTAACAGCTTCATCGGCAGCTTCACAAAGCTTGTAAAGTGTTTTCTCCAGTGAACTTTCAACTCCTTTCCTTATGTCAAAGAATGTTGGCAAAACTTGGGGTTTTAAGTACGGGTCTTTCAATAACGACTCGAGGTCTCCTTCATTCAGCACGGGGTTTGACAATATTACCTGGTTAAATGTGAAATATTACATGTATAAAATTAGCAGGGAAAAGAAACGTTGGCAAACATCGCATTAATACTGAATCTGTAAAATAACTCCCTTTTTTTTCTGTATCCTCATGAAAATCAAGAAAAATTAGAATATACCTGAGAGGCATTTTCGGGACCAACTTCTAGTATGTTGCCTCTCTTCCCGAGGTTAACTTCAAGTGACATGACCAAACCTTCTCTAAGAGGATCGATGGCAGGATTTGTAACCTGGTTTAGATATAGAATGATTTTGTTACTTGAATCAGCTTACAGATTTTTATATAGTGCATGAAATAATACTGAAGCTCATATTCTTTCCAATCTGATAACATCATTGCAAACCTGGGCAAATCGTTGCTTGAAATAATCAAATAGGATATGGGGTTTTCTAGATAACACTGCCAAAGGAATATCATCCCCCATGCAAAAAGTAGGCTCCTTTGCTTGAGAAGCCATTGCCTCAATCACCATTTGAACATCTTCACTAGAATATCCATATGCCCTGTTGTTTAAGGGAAAAAAGGAAAGAAAGAAATAAAGGACAGAATAAAATTAGATGATATTTTCTTTTATTTTACATTTTTGTATTGGAGAATTTAGTCTGGAAATATCTGTAAGACTGTAACATGAATCACTCAGATTTCATCTCACTGGAGAATTAGTCATATTTATATTATTTCAATATAATTACAAGCTTTAAGTTCTTTGCTTTTCATACAAACATAAGAGAAACGAAAAAAATTCCCAACAGACTTACTGTTGGCGCTGTAATATTGTTTCATTGTCCATCTCGGTTACTGACAGAAAGTTTGCAGCCTTTAAAGATCGGAGATTTTCATTCACCCATTTTCCGTAGGGATTAGATAGAGCAACTCGCTTTTTAACCTCAGTATTCTCGAACACCTATCAAGAATACAAAAAGAAAAAAGAAATAAATTAGAAAAATACACATTTCCAGGATAGCAATTAACCAATACAGGAATCTCACTGAAAAACTATCCATCTGAAAGATTAACATTATAAAAAAAAATACCTGTCCACTATGTAGGTCGACTGTAATCATCATTCCCGGACCTAATCGTCCTTTCATTACAACTTTTGAGTCATCTGTTGGTACAACCCCGACCTTCAAAAAATTAACTGTTGTCAGTTGGATGCAATTTGACAGCAAAACAATTAAAGTTACACAAATCACAAAAGGTGAACTAGTAATAATTCAGAATGCAGCAAATTGGAAGAACAACCCATGGAAGATCATTAAAAAACATATCCATGACTCAAAGACAACAAAGTGAATTTAATATTTACTTATCAGAACCCTACATCCTGGCAACTTGGAAAAACATAAAAAAAAAANAGGAAAAATGAATACAAAGGATGGAGAGAGAGAGAGAGAGAGAGATAGAGAGAGAGAACCTCGGATGCAACATATACTACATTGTCTACAGTCCGCCAATATCTAGCAGGGCGAAGCCCATTACGGTCAAGACAAGCTCCAACAGTTTTCCCATCACTGAGATATTAACATCATTATAAGAATATATAATAATAACTTGACATTGCAACACAAAACCAACATTCACAACAAAAATTGAGGAAATACAGTAATCACCATATGTGCTTCCAACAATACTTACTCTTAAAGTCACTTTGGCACAAGCAAAATAAGTAACCAATGCCCTAACAGACGATGGGAAAATACATATGACACCGATATGCGGCCATTTTATATCTGAAGCAAAGGTCTATTATTATAAAAATGAAGTTCCAGCAAAAAGGTGATAGGATGACAAAGGTAAGAAAAATAATAGCTTTGCAAGCTCAAAAGTCAAAACTACCCTTCTGAAAGTATAAATAAATTGAGCTGAAAATCAGCAATATACATATACACACGCGCACACACAACAGAGAAACATTAATACAACTAGAGATCACCTGAACAAGAGTAAGGCAGGCCCATCCCAGGCCTCCATTTGACCCTTGTAGTAATTGTAAAAATCAACAACCTGAAGCAAAATCATTAGAAATTAAGTCTATCATGACCTACAACTAATGTGAATATTTTCGTAAAATTCATGCAAAATTTAAATTGCTTCTGTCTTAGAATGCAAGACAAAGGAGCAAGGGCTCATGCCATCAGGAAGAACACTCAGAAGCAAGAATATAAACAACACTGTTACAGTTCAGAGTTTTTGGGTGAATTACAAGAATAAATTTTCTTACACTTTAAAAAAAAAAGAAAAAAAATTAAGGTATGGTGTGACAAATTACCACAATCAGAACTACAGAGCTTTTTATTGATGCCAAGGGAAAAATAATACCTCTGGGTACTTGATGCCAAGTGTTGGATGATTTTTATATGCCTCAGGGACAAGGAGCATCAGGGCTTCCTCAGGAGGACGCCCACATCTAATTAACAACTGCATTCAACGTAAAGTAAATACTATTAGCATCATATAAAACAACCTAGTAC